TCTTTCCCTTTGGTCATCACGGTCTCCTCTATCCGCCCCAGCCTTCCTTCTGGTTCTAACATGTCTGTGTCATCTGGCAGTTCCTTCTTGCTGAAATATCCTCACACCTGTTCTTTGAATGTCTGACTTCTCATCACTTACATATGAGCATAAACATCATTTCAACTGAGACGATATTCCTGCTTTTTCGGACTAAATGGATTTTCTATCACTGTCTTATGAGCTTAATTTTAAAATCTATGTATGGTACTTTTTTTAGGTTTTTATTTGTTTATTTATTTATTTTAATTTTTTACCATAAGGTTCTTGCACTCACCAGAGATGCATGAACCTTTTCTCCCTCCCCTGTTAGCTATTTTCTCCCCACTAGGAAAAGACATCATCAGAGCAGGGGTAATTTTCTTTAAAATCCTGTTTCCCTATACTTCCTGATTCTCTTTCTTCTACCTACTCCATTGTTCTTCATCTCTATTAATTAAGGATCTTCTTTTATTCCTTTATTCTTGATTAAAACCTAAGAGCTATTTCTGCTGGGGTTGCAGGTTAAATAGTTAAATAAGAAAACTATGGATACTCAGTTAAACTTCAATATCAGAAAAACAATATTTTTTTTGTTTGATATGTCCCAAATATTGCATACCATATACTTACACTCATTTTTTTTTAAGGGCGATTTTTGCTATAGGGCCTATGTGCTTGCCATAGAGATAGAAAGCGAGAAATCACCCCTCACAGGGATGGCCATGCCATAATCCCTTCTCCTCCATCCTCCTCTTGGGATTTTGAGCACACATGCACATGCAGCTGGCATGAGTTTTAAGTCACCGGGTCCAGGATTCAAACCAGGGTTGACTATGTGGGAGTCCAGGGACATGACCATTACACCATCTGCTGGTCCCCTTACACTCATTACTAATCTGAAATTTAAATTTAACTGACAAGTGCATGACGTTGAAGCAAATCTACCTTCCTCTACCCTCTTTTCCTTCTTTCTATCTTTCTCATCTCCACAGCCAGTTAATGGTGAAGTCCAGAATTCATCTCAGAATTATATGTGGGATATTTCTCTCCTACGATGCAACTAGTCAGAGCCACCATCATCTCTCTTTTGGATGAACACAGCAGCTTTCCTAAGTCTCTACTTTGGACCTGCATTAATCTCCTTCTCCATATTCCATACAGCCTGACAGAGTAGCATCTTAGAAACACGAAGGTGACATATTATTAATAATTCTCTGCACAAGTCCTTCTGTGTTTCTCACTGTACTAAGGAGCAAAAACGAAATCTTCCCTGAGCTTGCAAAGCCATGGGTGAGAAATCACCCTTCGTGGGGGGGATAGCCACACCTCAATCCCTTCTCCATTCTCAGGATTTGGGGCATGCATGCACATGTGCCTGCTGTGATTTTCAAGCACTGGGTTGGTCTCGGGTTCATACTTCAATCAGTTAAGTGGGAGACCAGCACCGTACCCACCATTCCACCTGCTGAGCCTGATAGTACAACATTCTAAAGGACTTCTTGCTTATGCCAACCTAAAGAGTTTTAAATAAAATTGACTAGATGACCATTTCAAGAAATAAATAAAATGCCAAAATATAGACACACTGTTAACATTCAGCATAACTTTTAAGAACCTCACAAGAAATTGTAAACCACCTTCTGTTGAGCCTCTGTGACATTTATAAGTCTTCATCATCTCAAAGCAAAGGTTAGTCTTGTAAGGAATAGAACAGATATCTTCTCTTTGAAGCATCGATCTGACGGTGTTTAGGAACATTAACTAGTTATTTTGGTACATTTTTCTCTTCAGACACTTACGTCATAATGTGGTTGCAGCATTGTTAATGCCTCTGAAGCAAGGTGTGGCAGTGGCAGCTTCCTCTGCTAAATCTGAATGATATTAATATACAGGATATAGCAAAAGCGAATGCATTTTGTCAACATACTTGCAATTTACCAAACTAACTTTTCAGAAACTTTGATGATTCTTCTATTTCTTTCTCAGAAAAAAGCTCGCTCCCAGCTACGGATTTCAGGCCTCTACCCTTCTGCTTACTGGCTTGGACAGGCACTGGTGGATATTCCCCTGTACTTCCTGATTCTCCTTCTAATACAAATACTTGATTACATTTTTAGCCCAGCTGATATTATATTGATAATTAAAGGCCTGTTAATTCAGGTAAGTGGCAAAAATTATGAAATGCTTTTATTGGACTATTTTTTATGACTACAGTAACATGACTAATCTTAAATATGAAAACGTCAAATTTTCTGTGTTATCACATAGCCTTGGGAAACTGAGGCATAGGTTTGAATACTTTCCTAAATAGTATTTATTTACCTTAAATAGCATTCATTTACCTCAACTAGTATTTATTTACCTTCTCCAACCTGACTATGTTTTTCAGATCCTGTGTACTGTTGGATACGTCTCATCTCTTATTTTCTTGACATATGTGATCTCATTTATTTTTCACAGCAGAGGAAAATATACTGGAATGTGGTCATTCTTATTCTTAATTGTAAGTATGCACATGGTGTATGATTTTCATTATTAAAACATTTTAAAATAAATCCGAGAACACATATTTTCATCTTTCTAGTAAGCAGAGTGGCAAATTACTATTGGACTCTAGAAAATTCTAATCATTATAAGATAATTACAGGGAACCAGCAGTTAGCGTAATGGCTATGTCGCTGGACTCCCACGTAGTCGACCGCGGTTCGCGTCTCGGACCCGGTGACTTAAATCTCACGCCAGGCGCGTGTGCATGCATGCCCAAGATCCCGAGAGGAGAATGGAGGAGAAGGGATTGTGGCGTGACCATCCCCCCTGGAGGGTGATTTCTCGCTTTCTGTCTCTATGTCTCTCTCTGTCTGGCGAGCGCACGCGCCCTATAGCGAAAACCTCTCCAAAAATAAAAAAGATAATTACAGACATAGACAAAATCTACCATAGGACTGAGTGTTTTCCATCCGTAAATTATGACTTGACAAATGTGCATCCAAGTCAGATCTGGCCCCTGGGCTAGGGACATCTACCTCTAACAGTTCACTTATAAATTTTACCTGAATATTTAGAAAGTACCTCAGGGATCCCATATCTGAAGTAAAACTATGTCCTCAACCATGTTATTCCTTCTCTCTCTCTCTCTCTCTCTCTGTCATTTTAGTTTGCTATAGGTTGTGTGCACTTACTGGACAGAAACAGAGAGAGAAGGTGAGAAAGGGAGAAATTATCCTTGAGGGGTGAACGCCACACAGCAATCCCTTCTCCTTCATTCTCTTCTCAGGACTTTGGGCACACACACACACGCACATACACACACACACTCCAGGCATGATATTCAAGCTGCCTGGTCCAAGACGTGAACTGGATAGTCAACCACGTGGGATCCAGCTGCCTTAAACTCCACACCATCTTCTGGCCCTTTTGTAGTAATAGGTTATATTGCTGTAGAAGGACCCACCCAGCTAGTTACTCATACCAAAAATCTGGAGTCCTCCTCCTCTCTCTGCCTTTTCTTTCATTCAATCCGTATGCTTGTCCTTTAAACATTACAATTCCCACTCGGTTGTTCCCCAGCTTCACTGCTACAACCCTTATCCAAATTTTCATCATCTCTCACCTGGAGTATTGTGAAAGTTCTGTGACAAGTCTCTCTGTTTCTACTTTTTGCTCCTATTCTAAACTGTTCTCTAAATGGTCACCAAAAAGTATAATGTCATGTGTTTTAAGCACAATAAAAATGTTCAAATTATGTCTATGGTGGTTTCATGGAAGTAAAAAAATTTTAATTTCACAAAACTACCAGACACTTCAAGAAACAGAATATTACTAGATATTGCTAGGTCCTTAGAAATCCCTTCATTTCCCATTCTTAGCTATACTATCTCTTTTTTTTTAGTGTCCATTACAATTTTTAATACTTTTATGTTCTCCAGTCTTTCAGTCTCTACCATAGAGTGAAGACAGAGGTAAGACACTTGTGGGAAAGAGATAAGGTTTATTATCTCTTCTTTTCTTTAATCATCTCTTATTTATTTATTTATTTATATTAGCATTTTCCTTAGTTGTAATACTATATATATATATATATATATATATTTTAGAGAGAGATTTTTGCTACATGTTGCATTCACTAGAGAGACAGAGACAGAGAGACAGAAATTTAGAAATCACCCCCCCCATAACCCCTTCTCCTCCACTCTCCTCCCAGGACCTTTGGGCACACATGCATATATGCCCACTGTGAGATTATTATTATTATTTTTGAGAGGTTTTTCCTATAGGGCGTGGGTGTGTGTGCTCGCCAGAAAGGTAGAGAGAGACAGAGAGACAGAAAGCGAGAAATCACCCCCCAGGGAGGATGGCCATGCCACAATCCCTTCTCCTCCATTCTCCTCTCGGGACCTTGGGCACGCATGCACACGCGCCCGGTGTGAGTTTTTTAAGCCACCGGGTCTGGGACTCGAACCACTTTCAGCTACATGGGAGTCCAGTGACACAGTCATTAAACCAACTGCTGGTCCCATGCCCACTGTGAGTTTTAAGTCACCATACACAAGACTCAAACCATGGTCAACTATGTGGGAATCCAACATCATAACCAGTATGCCACCTACTGGTCCCATAATGCCATATATTAATTTAGTCACTTTCTGAACAAAAAACATAAAATTATGCAATATGCATTATTCTGTGTCATAATTAATAAAATATTGTTTAGAGTCATCTATTCTGTTGTGTCTATAACTACTACAATGGTCCATTCTTTCCATTGCTGCAGTACACTGTTGATGAATGTGCTATAATTTATTTATCCATTCTTGACAAACATTCAAGTGGTTTCCTGTTTCAGACTGTAAAATTTTTCTGTGTGTCGATACCCACATGTGTATATGTGTATATACTATGTTTTATAAGCCTGGCAGTGGATGATCAAATTAATCAATAAATTAAAGAATTCAAGGAAAGAAAAATTTCTACAAAAGCACTGATGAGGACTACTCCAGTTGAATATTTGTGAAGATTAAATAACTGGGAATCATGGTTATAACATATTAAATAGAAAAAAACTCATTTTCTTAAGTAACATCCTGAAGTTCAGATTGTTGCACGTACTGACACTGTGTTATGCTTTTATTTTAGATCACCATCTTCTCGGTAGTTGTTACTGAAATAAATGTATATGCATTTAAGGAGCTACTTTTAATTGCTCTATTAATGCCACCCTTCACACTGATGGGCTGTCTATTAATTTTAAACGAGGTAAGTAGTTTCAGTCCTGTCTTGTGTCATGAAGTTTATGACCACTGAGAAAGCTTTAAACATTACAAAAATATAGGTGAAAATTGTAGGTAACTGAACTGTCTTTGGGGATCCACTTCTTTTATTTTAGGTGAAGGGCATTCTCATTAAGTAGGAAGTCCTGGCTTGGTTTATGAAGGGCAAGGCAACTCCAGGGTAATAGAAATGTATAGTTTACATGATGACTCTCACTCCTGGGAAAAGTTTCCTGTCAAGTTTGAAATATGCTGATTTTAAGGCATCTAAAGGTATGCAAAGAGAATATCGAGGAACCAGCTGGATATTGAGTCTGGAATTCAAAGTTTCAAGAAGTGTAAAGATTGGGACTAATGTTTCATACTTGGGATTTACCCACTTACAGACTGTGTTAAAACCCATGGGAATGTGAGACTGTAAACCACAGAGTGAGTATTGGTAGAAATAAAAAGAGGGCCAAGGACTTAACCTTGGACTCTAAAATTGAGGGACTGGGAAGAGAGTCAGTAAATCAGTTCAAGAAGGACTGAGGGAAACAAAATGGCTGACATTTGTGTGCCACAGTCTCCTCTTAGAAACTTTCATTAAACATTGACGTATAAGGCCAGCTCTGTGGCTTTGTGGTTAAAGTAGTAAGATACTATGTGAGCATGGTTCAAATCCCAGACCTGATGGCTTGAAAAACAGTTGTGTGTGTGTGCATACATGCCCAAAATCCTGAAGGGAGAAAGAAATGGAGCAGAAGGGATTGTAGTGTGACCATTCCTCATGAGGGATTCTTTCTCCTTTCCCTCTCTCTCCTTCCTGGTGGGCACAAGCACCCTCTAAGAAAACAAAAACGAAAGTGTATAAGTGTGTGTACTAAACAAAAATAAAGAAGGTTTCAAGAAAGAAGGAGAGATTAGACCATCAAGAGCTACAGAGATGTCTAGAAAGATGGTAATTGAAAAAGAGGCCACTGAGTTTGACTTCAGTAAAATCATTGTTGATGTTAACAAGTTTGATTTAAATTGAAGTGTCAGCACAAAAGTCTTGTAAGAGTGAACTTACTAGAAAATGTGAGTGAATAAATGGTGACAGCGGGTATAGGCAAGCTTATCTAGGAGTTCTGTCAAAGAGTACCAAAGGACTAACAGGTGGTGTAATGGTTACATCACTAGACTCCAACATGGCTAACCAGGGTTTGATTCCTGTACCCAAAGGCTTGAAAATCACTCTGGGGTGTGTATGTGCATGCCCAAAATCCTGAGAGGAGAACAGAGGAGAAGGGATTGTGGTGTGGCCATACTCCCTGAGGGATCATTTCTTGTTTTCTGTCTCTCTGGCAAGTACACATGCCCTATAGCAAAAATATCTCTCTAAAAAAGAAAAAAATAATAATAAAAGAGTACCAGATATGGAAGAGAAGATGAATAAGAAGCAAAGATTTTTTTGTTTATTTGTGCTAAGGGACATCCCTTGCCAACATGAGAAAAATTTCTGATGGAAAAAAGATAGGGGTTACCGAAGGAGTCAAGTACTTGAATAGTTGAAAAGAAAATTGCATGTGGTACACAGTGGAGGGGTTGATGTCCATAAATGCAGGAGAATTCCAAAACTTTACAAGATCCTTGCCAGAGCATATGGACATAGAAACAGGCAGTTTGGTGGCTTAGCTGATACAATGTGAGATGATTCTCTTTTGACTAATTCTACTTAAAATAAGTGAAGTCATCAGCCAGTGGTCTAGAGGGCTTGGGATTTTGAGAACAAAAAAAAGTACAAAACTGTTTTAGAGTCCATAAGCCGAACAGGCGGTGCTGAGGACTTGCTGCTCTGTTTTTGAAGTGAAGTCAGCAAAGTTGAGGGTTTTGTGTGTCATAATCTGCTTCTCAAATACAGTTTAGGAAGAGTGAAGAGTCAGGTTCAATCAGGATTGAAAATATACATGGTGATTCTCCCAAAGAATGGAATAAGGAGCAAACACTTTTATATAAAAGGGATTAAAGAATGTACCATGTAGTCTAAGCTAGAGAATGAAGTTAAGGACATAAGCGGGATTATGGACACTGGAAAAAATTGTTGGTGGGTTGACAGTTTATCAACTCCAAATAGAGTAAGGATGCTAGAGTAAGGAAGCTGAAAAAAAATAATATGTGTTAGTAGAGAGAGCAGAGATCCCGGAGATTGAGGTTCATTTTGGGTGTGGTGCCATTATTGGAAGAAGGTGACAGATACTTGGGAGGACAAAAACATATGAAATGATGTCAGCGTCATAGTAAATCATACAAAGTAGGAAAAAACTAATCTTTCCTAGATGATGGATGGCTGGGAGGGTTATACATTTTCTATAAAGGACTTAAAATTAGTCAGAACAACATCTTAGTAAATACAGCTCAAGAATGAAATTGATCCTTTATCTTTTCTTCACTAAGAGCTGGAGGATGTTGGGGAGAAAATGCCCTTTTGTGCATACATGTGAAGAACTCTAGATGAAGAACTTTGTCTCTAGTTTGAAGAGATCATCATGACTACGCTCACAAGTGGATGCCGGAGGGCAAGAGCAATATAATGATTCCAGAGATCTTGGGGGAAAGAATAGAGATAAGGAGCACACATGAGAAGAGGAAAGAAAGTTAAGGGAGAATATTTGTCCTAAGACTAGTTTGCCATGTCTTTGTGGGTCCTGCCTGCACCAGCCCAGAGTTCTTCTAACAGGATAAATCCTGCCAAGTCAGTGTTCTATGTAAAAGCATCTTGGCCTACAGACCAGACAGGTGGTCAGTTCCCTGAGACACCTTGGAGGCAAGGAAAACATACTGCATAGTCAGAAACTGGCTGTTACCAGACAGGCAAGGTAGGAAGGGTTAGGTAGAATGCTGGCAAGGCCACTTAATGGGCATTTAGCTTAGTGGGAGATGAAATTCACGAACAGATGAAGACTCATTTAAATACCCTTTCTCCCATTTTACAGTTTTCTTCTGACACCACAGATTTCTTTGAAGCTTCAGGATCTCAAGCTGTATTTCTAGCATCGCTAATAGTAAGAACACATTTCCTTTCAATGTTCTTTAATGAGAGGACATAGTATGGTTGGGATTTCTTCAAATTGTATATATGCAGCAACACACACACACACACACACACACACACACACACAGTGACCTATCTGGACCACTATCTTTGCAACAATTATCTGATGCCAAGCGTGAAGGCGAGACTTGAAGTGGCATGAGTATATCAGTTTACTACTGCCATGTTTATAGTATGCTTTCTCTAAATAGTAGTGCAACTAACTTTGAAAGTTTCATGAAATGTTAAATATTGTGTCCAATGACCCAATAGGTTAGCTCTCAGTCTTGTGACAATGCGATGAAATGTAATTTTATATATGATCCAACTTAGATAAATTTTAATATGGAATTTATTTGATGCTTTTTATAATGATGCTAATTGTGATTGTCTTTCTTTTTTCCTAGCCTTACTTTCATTTTTTCATTTTCCTTTTTGTTCTGCGATGTCTGGAAGCAAATTTCAGGAAGAAGTCAATGAGAAAGGATCCTGTATTCAGGTTGAGAATATTCTAATATAACTTTATGCTTTAATACTCATTGTTTAAGAAAACTTAATATTCCTTAATTAAGAAAAAATTACTGTACTGAATTGATTTTAAGGGTGTGTATGCAAAATTATTATAATTCTTGATGCTTTACTGAGCTTACAGTTTAGCAAGAGAAACCACATCAGTACACGTGAGACACTGAAAAATTAAGGCAGACTGTAATTTCACTGGCAAACCTGAGAAAAGTTATAGGGCTGTCTGAAAGGAGACAGAGAGTAACAGAATGGAGACTCTGTTGTGTATATAGTTACTCAATCTAGTAAATAATTGATAACAGTTACAGAACATTCATCATTTTTGCTTCATGTCTTTTAACTAGCAACCTGTTTTTATTACACATTTGATTTTAGAATTTCTCCAAGAAGCTGTGATGTTTTCCCAAACCCAGAAGGACCCGAAGGAGAGGATGAAGATGTTCAGATGGAAAGAATGAAAACAGCAAATGCTGTGGCTATCCCTGTCACTGATGAGGTAAAACTCACAAAAATGTTTCATCATTTTTTCTGGCTGAGTAGTATTCCACAGTGTATAAGTGCCACAGTTTTTTTTTTTTTTTTTGAGAGATTTTTGCTATAGGGCTCGTGCACTCGCCAGAAAGATAGAGAGAGACAGAGAGACAGAAAGTGAGAAATCACCCCCCAGGGAAGGAAGGCCATGCCACAATCCTTTCTCCTCCATTCTCCTCTCGGGATCTTGGGCATGCACACACACGCTGCAATAAACATGGATGTGCAAGTGTTTTTCTGACCCAGCATTTTCCTACCCTTTGGGTAGATACCCAGGAATGGAATTTCTGGGTCATACATTAATTCTATTTTTAGGTTTTTGAGGAAATTCCATATTGTTCTCCATAGTGGCTATACTATTTTATATTCCCAACAACAGCATAGAAGAGTTCTTTTTTCACTAGAGCCTTGCCAGCACTTGTTGTTCTTTATTTTTTAAAATCTTGGCCATTCTGATTCGGGTTAAGTGGTATCTCATTGTGGTTTTGATTTGCATTTCCTTTATGGTAAGAGATGCTAAGCCTTTTTTCACATGCCTTTTGGCCATTCCGATGCCATCCTTGGAGAGTTGTCTGTTCTGCTTATTTGCCTTTTTTTTTTTTTTTGGTGGGTAAGCTGCTTGAGTTCCTTGTAGATTCTCGTTATCAGTCCCTTATTCGAAGCATAGTTTGCAAATATATTTTCCCATAGAAATAGTATAGGAGGGGGTGGATAATGGGAAATGAGAGCGAGAAATCAGGGGAGGAAAGAACATGTAACAGACACAGAAATGAAAAGGTATCTATTGATGATGACGTGAAGGGTAATGTCTTAGAACTAGAATAATATGCACTGTGTTCATGCTGGGAAAAATCATTATCTATACTGTAAGGATGTACAGAGATTAAAAGTAAATTTTAAAAACTCACAAAATTGTTCTTCATTAAATAATTTCAATAAAGAAGACATCAACCTAAACTTAATTTCTGGAAAGCACTTGAGGTTCCTTACACATACAACTCATTATTAATCTTGGTGGGTACATAATGCCCAGAAAGCTAAGCAAGCAATGGACACACACATATTCTATTATTTTTTCAGGATTAGTTTTTGGTAAGTACAGCTAAACATCACAAAGCCCAAGTAAGATTTTGGGAGTTTTATAACTCAAGTAAAGCACTGTAAACAATTCAGGGGAGAGACTAGCATCTGGGATAATGGTTAAAGTGGTAGACTCCCACGTGGTAATCACAGTTCAAGTCCCAAACCTAGTGACTTGAAATTCATGCCGGGCACATGGGCATGCATTCCCAAAATCCAGAGAGGAGAATAGAGGAGAAGGGATTGCAGTGTGGACATTCAGCTGGGGAGTGATTTCTCTCTTTCTCTCTGGAGAGTCCTCATGCCCTATAGCAAAAATCTCTTTAAAAATTTCAGAGAAGAGAGCTCATCTGAAGTGTATGTGCATTTGTGTACATGTATGTGTGTGTGTGTTAACAAATCTATTGGTTCAGTGAATGTCTCTATTGCTCGCTGAAGGACACAAATTTCCTGATACAGTGCAGAAACCCTGTCCTTGCAGGGATCTAGACTGGGAGAGTTTACTTGAAAATGGCCATTTCTAGGGGAAGGACACACTTGATGATTTTTATATACATAGGGGAAGTCTTGGTGAGAGAGGTATAAAGCACTTTCTCAGCTCAAGGTGAGAAGAATCTCCATTGTCATTTACTTGTCTTTGCAGAAACCAGTCATCATTGCCAGCTGTCTACGGAAGGAATATGCAGGCAAAAGGAAAAATTGTTTTTCAAAAAAGAAGAAAAAAGTTGCCACCAGAAATGTCTCTTTCTGTGTTAAGAAAGGTTGGAAATAGCAGTTCTGTGAGCTATCTTGACCTCTTTTGACTGGATTTTTTTAAAGAGGTTTTTGCTATAGGGTGCGTGCGCTCTCCAGACAGAGAGAGAGACAGAGAGACAGAAAGTGAGAAATCCCCACCCCCCCCAGCAGGGATGGCCATGCCGCAATCCCTTCTCCTCCATTCTGCTCTCAGGATCTTGGGCACGCACGCACACGTGCCCGGCGTGAGTTTTAAGCTACTGGGTGTGGGACGTGAACCGCGGTTAACTATGTGGGAGTCCAGCGACATAGCCATTATACTAACTGCTGGTCCCCTGACTGGATTTTTTAAAGGGAGTGAGAGTAACTGAACCTGGGCCTCTGTGATAGACATGACAGCCAGCCAGCTCACCAGCAGGTGAAGGCTGCTCATCCGTATTTAAAAGTCTCGGTTATAATACTAACTTTTTTCTTTGTATAGGAAGGCATTATATCTGTTCTATTAAAACAACAACAGTAGTGGAAGAGTCAGTATTGGTTTTTAAATTTTTTTTTTTTTGGAGAGGTTTTTTGCTATAGGGCATGTGGACTCGCCAGAAAGGCAGAGAGAGACAGAGAGAGACAGAAAGCGAGAAATCACCCCTCCGTGGGGGACGGCCATGCTGCAATCCCCTCTCCTCCATTATACTTTTCAGGATCTTGGTCACACATGCACGTGCACCTGGCGTGAGTTTAAGCCACTGGGTCTGGGACTCAAACCATAGTCAACTACATGGTAGTCCAGCAACATAGCCATTACGCTAACTACTGGTCCCAAGAGTCAGTATTTTTGTCAAGAAAGATAGCATATGGGACCAGCAGATGGTATAATGGTTACATCGCTGGACTTTGACCTATTCAACCATGGTTCGAGTCCCGGACTGGGCAGCTTAAACACACAGGACATATGAGTGTGCATGCTCAAGATCCCAAGAGGAGAAAGAAGGATAAGGGATTGTGGCATGGCCATCCACCAGGGGGGTTATTTCTTGCTTTCTGTCTCTGTCTTTCTGGCAAGTGCACACTCCCTACAGCAAAGAAAAAAAAATTCTCTTAAAAAAAAAAAAGGAAGATGGGGAACCAGTAGATGGTGTAGTGGTTATGTCACTGGACTCCCACATGACCAACTGTGGTTCAAGTCTTAGACATGGTGGCTTCAAGAGACTCATGTTGGGCATGTGTGTGTGCATGCCCAAGATCCTGGGAGGAGAAGGGAGGAGAAGGGATTGTGTCATGGCCTTCCCCCAGGGGATTTTTTTTCACTTTCTATCTCACTATCTCTGTGTCTCTCTCTCTGGCAAGTACATGTACCTTAAGGCAAAAACTTCTAAAAAATAAATAAATGAAAGAAAGATGGCATAGGTTTTCTTTCATTTTCTTTTATTAGAGGACACATGCACTTCCATAGAGATAGCAAAAGCAACCCAAATGGGACATGACCATGCTACAGTTCTTCCTCCAGCCCTCCTTCCTGTCAGGACTTTAGGCATGCACACATGCATGCCCGGTGTTCCTCAAGCAGCTGGAACTGGGACTCAAACCATGGTTGGCCATGTAGGACCCAGCTCCCTTAACAGCTGAGCTAATGGTGCTAGCCCACTTTAGATTTTGATGTAATATAACTTCATAACAGAATATTATACAGAAGAAAACCGGTGGAGGAATAGTAGTTCATCTTCATTCCTTCACAGCAAATTTTGTGACAGTGTTGAATAAATGCAATAGAATTTAGAATGAAAATTTGTTTCAAAATCCAGTTCAATCTTAGTGGTTAGACAACCTTGGGCAAGTTATTTCTTCTTTTAATCTCAGTTCCTCCTCTGTAAAATGAAGCTAGTAATAATGCTCAGGTGTGTGCATGTGTGTGTGTGAAGAATAAGCGAAATAATCTACATTGCATATTTCATATGGTGTTTGACATATGGTGAGTGAGTCCTCAAATGGTATTTGCTTTTATTTTTACTGTAATCATTTGTCTATAAGCATACCTTTTTCTTTCAGGCGAAGTTATAGGATTGTTAGGACACAATGGAGCTGGTAAAAGTACTACTATTAAGATGATAACTGGAGACACAAAACCAACTGCCGGACAGGTGAGTAGAACACACAGAAATATACTCATTAAGGCTAGATCAAACATTTTGCAGACTGTTAGACAAGCTAAAAAATAAATAGATGAGAGTAGATTTCCCTCCTCAATTCTAAAAAAAGTTGTAGAAAAAGGCTACATATGATCTCTACTTCATTGAGTGAAATATAGATATATTAAAAGAAAATACACTCATTGAGGTCAGAGATCATGACTTGTTGGTGAATTTGTTTTACTGAATTGCTTCATCAGACATCACACCAGAAAGCACTTTCAAAATAACAGTAAGTACTGTCTGTGTTGTTATTATCATGAGTCTTCACATTCAATAACTTTTTCTTCCTATGTGTCATAATTGAAGATAATGTTGTACACGCAACTTGCATAACCATAGAGATTTATTAACAAATAAAATTTCATAGGTCTTTCCAGACAGCATATGCAACAGAAGCTTTCTTATAATCATTAAGATATATCCTGGGACCAGCAGATGGCTTAATGTTTACGTCACTGGACTCCCACAGGGTCAACTGCATTTCGAGTCCTGGACTCGGAGACTTGAAACTCATACCAGGCACATACACATTGTGACAACCAATGATGTCTCCAGATGTTGCTAAACATTTCCTGGGGGAGGCTTGCCCTGAGAACCACTGTATTGCACTGCTGTAGATTCTGCGATTATGAGTATTGGGAAATGGAATCCTCCACAAGTACCCTTTTCTTTCAGTCAATCAATGATTCGATCAATGAATGAAGTCAAGCCAAGGCCAACCAAATGGAACTTGAATTAGACCACAATGACTGAATTGATATTAGAGTCTAACTATAAAAAGGGAAATAATAATGTGGAATATCTGCCTTTTAAAGTATTGAGTGTTTACATCATATTTTCCTCAGAGCTAAATGATTACTTATTTACTTTTGGAGACTTAGCACCCATGTGTGCAATGCGGTGACTGACTGAAATATATACTCACATGGACACACAATTTTGGACAGATTTTGAGAATGAACTTTTGTGTGTAGGTGATTTTGAAAGGGAGCAGTGGAGGGGACACCCTCGGGTTCTTGGGGTACTGTCCTCAGGAGAATGCACTGTGGCCAGCTCTGACAGTGAAAGAGCACCTGGAGGCCTACACCGCTGTGAAAGGACTGAAGAAAGAGGATGCCAAGGTGGCCATTACACGGTACATGGGAGAGCCACACCCATTCTCTACAGGGGGATGTGACAGTAATTATGTGCACACAAAATTGAAGAAGGGGGAGTTCTAACTAATGACCCCATGCTTGTGGGAGAAAACTTGATTGTCTAGAATTCACTTTGATAGAGCTACTTTCTCTACTTTAAGCCCTCAGAGAAAAAGTTTATTAATCACTCTTTACGTGGAAAGAAGTCATTGAAAGTATGAGTTTGGTGGCCATGAAAGGTTCATCAAGTATCCTGAGTAGTCTCAGTGATACAAGACCTCTGACCATTCTGTCCCACGGGACCAGCAGATGGCGTAATGGTTACATTGCTGGACTTCCACATAGTTGACTGCTGTTCGAGTCTCACACCCGGTGGCTTGAAACTCACATGGGGCGCACATATGTGTGTGCCCAAAATCCCAAGAGTAGAATGGAGGAGAAGGGCACTTTTTCTCTTTCTCTGTTTCTGGCGAACACACACACCCTATAGCAAATCTCTCAAAAAAAAAAAAAAAAAATTCCCCACTACCATGTATACTCTGATTTGCTTTCTCCTGATACATGTGTCATCACTCTGGAATGATGTGGATTGACACACTTATCTCCTTCAGGTTAGTTGATGCCCTCAAGCTGCAGGACCAGCTAAAGGCTCCAGTGAAGACCTTATCAGAGGGAATAAAGAGAAAGGTATGAGCAGGTCTCCCTCTTCCAACTCTGCACACCTTACAGATCAGAGCGAGATAGGCCTTCCCTCTCGTTCTAGGTGTGTTTTGTGCTGAGCATCCTGGGAAATCCATCAGTGGTGCTTCTGGATGAGCCAACGACTGGCATGGACCCCGAGGGCCAGCAGCAAGTGTGGTGAGGTCATCCCTGTGTGAACTTACTCATCCTGTAACAACTGACCTACGAAATCACTATTTACTCAGGAAGCGAGAGGTAGTTCCAGGAAATGCAACATTAAGAGGAAAAAATGGGGACCAGTGGGTGGTATGGTGTTTGAGGACTGGGCTCCCACATCACTGACTGCAATTGGAGTCCCAGACCTGGCATCTTGCTTTCTCACTTTCCCTCTCTCTTGCTCTCTCTTGGGTGAGTGCATGTACCCTGTAGCAAATTTTAAAATAATAATGATAAATAAAATGAAATAATTTCTGAAAAATTAAAATGAAAAAAAGGAGAAAATAATCTGATTTCATACCATAGCCAGTTTTTATTGAGGAAAAAAGATATATTCTCTTAACCTCATACCTATTCTAAAAAGTTTATTTTCTTCTTCTTCTTCTATCTTTTTGGTATGCATGGTATATAGTCAACCAACTCAATCTACTGTCAAGTTTTAAATCTTTTTACATCCTTTAGAGTCCTCCAACCACTCTTAAAAATTTCCCCACTATTATGTTTACTCCTTTTTGCTTTCTCCTGATACATGTGTCATCACTCTGGAATGATGTGGATTGACACACTTATCTCCTTCAGGTTAGTTGATGCCCTCAAGCTGCGGGACCAGCTAAAGGCATGTAGATACATTTGCCAACATTGAGGAGTGATATAGATTGATTCAGTCCAACCTACCTTTAGGCAGGCGATCCGGGCCACCTTTAGAAACACGGAGAGGGGTGCCCTCCTGACCACCCACTACATGGCAGAGGCAGAAGCTGTGTGTGACCGAGTGGCCATCATGGTATCTGGAAGGCTGAGGTGAGTACCTGTCTGAGGCTGCGCTTGGCCCCCAGGTTGCATGCCCGAATAGAGAATGTTCCATGTACAAGTTTACCCACTGTCAGGAGCTGGCTGGAGTGACTGACTGTTTCGGCTCAACAGGACCCTGTCCCTGCTCGCCAGAGGCTGAATGTGATTGCAAATATTACAGGTTTCTCCCTTTTCTCGCATAACTTCACCCTCTTCTTCTCTCCAGGTGTATTGGTTCCATCCAACACCTGAAAAGCAAATTCGGCAAAGATTACCTGCTGGAGATGAAGGTGAAGACCCCTACACAGGTGGAGCCCCTCCACACAGAGATTCTGAAGCTCTTTCCCCAGGCTGCTCGGCAGGAAAGGTAAGTACAGGTGGTGTTCTGTTTTATGTTGGTCTTTGATTTGTTTTCATATTATAGTAATGAGGAATAAAAACTTTTTTTTTTTGAGAGGTTTATGCTATAGGGCGTGTGTGCTCTCCAGAAAGACAGAGAGAGACAGAGAGACAAAAAGTGAGAAATCTCCCCCAGGGAGGGTGGCCACACTGCAATCCCTTCTCCTTTATTCTCCTCTTGGGATCTTGGGCACACACACACACATGTCCGGCGTGTTTAAACTGTTGGGTCTGGGACTAGAACCATGGTCGACTACATGGAAGTCCAGTGACTGCTGGTCTCAGGAATAAAAACTTTATCTTGCTGACTGGTGGCATGGTAGTTGAGGCGGCTAGATCCCATATAGCTAACTTCACTGGGTGGCTTGAGGAACATGCTGGGTGCATGCGCATGCATGCCCAAAATCTTGATGGAGGAGAAGAGATCACCCTTTTCCATGAAGGGGTGCTTTCTTGCCCCCTCCCCCCTCCTTTCTCTCTTTCTTTGTCTCTCTCCAGAGAGTACACATGTCCTCTGGCAATTTTTTTTTTAAAGCTTTTTAATTCCCTGGTAATTTTGAGTAATTAATTACTAGAGAAAGGTTTAATTCCAAACTACCTACCCAAGGAAGTAAATAAGAGAACAGTGCTGGTTTGGATTTTTTTTTTTTTTTTTTGTGAACTTGAAGTTAAAGGTATATTGTTTAGTCAGAATAGTTATTTTCCAATGTCACTTCACATTTTTTAAAAAATTATTTTATTTTATTACATCTTTTAAATACATTAATTCACATTTTTTAGCTTACAAGGTGAAATGGTTTGGATTTTGACCTTTGTAAGGGAATTTATGCTGGTGGGTGCTTGGCAGTGTACCAGGTATAATAACACAGGTATGCACTTGGGCCATCACAGTGGTCCTTTCTAAGGGGTAAAGCCATCCCCCCTTAAAGGAGATCACCTGTATAAAGCCCATGTTTCAGTACTAGGCATCGGTCAAATCTCAGAGAATGACATCTTTTAGCACTTTTATTATTATCAGTAAGGACACTTGAAGCTCACATGGGCTTGGTAATGGCAATGGTGGAAACAGGAGTTGAACTAAGAGGAAGCAAAAGTAATTCTGCTTTTTAAGGTGAAGGCACTAGCGATTTCCTCCCCTTCGTCTTTCGCTCCTTCTCTTAGTATATCAACTTCTTATTCACCCAAAGAGTGTTTACACTATAGTTGTCTCCAGCCCCTTTCAAATTCATTTACGTAAGCATATTGTTGAGAAGTTTGTTGCTTGCCTTCAGACCTGCACTTACTGGGGCGTGACTTCCCTTTGCAGGTACTCCTCCCTGATGGTCTATAAGTTGCCTGTTGAGGATGTGCGACCTTTGTCACAGGCTTTCTTCAAATTAGAGACAGGTAAGAGTGACTCTTTGACTGGGAAACAGGAAAATCCAATGCTCATGTAAAACCAGCATTAAAAAATACATAGACATACCACTGTGACATTGTATCATAAATACATGGCTCATAATCCAGTAGTTCTCAGAAGAGGCAATTTGACAATGTCTGGAGATCATTTTGGTTCCTGCTACTTGGGTGGGGTGGCAGGGTGCAATGGGGATCTAGTAGAGGAAACCTGGAATGGAGCTAAATGTTCTACAATGCACAGATCAGCCCCCACCAGAAAGAAGGATCAGGCCAAAATATCATTCGTGCTGAGGTTGAGTAATCTTGCCCTGATTGAAGAGGGTTCTGGAGGAAAGAGACCATTGCCATCCAGGGCTGGAGTATCCACAAATTCTCACAGAGAAATGTAAACACTGGCTTTTGTTTCTATGTATTCTTCATCAGTATTAGCTGCTGATAAGAAACTTCCACTCTCTTTTCAGGTGGATTAATTCATGACTCTTTGTTAGGCCCTTGGATTTCGGTCTTGGCATAATGCATTGATCTCTCATGGGTTTGTTTTTGCCCACGTTAGTATGTGAAACCTGACGAAGCAAACGTGCGCACGTGCCTCTTCTTGATCTGTTCTTTCTGGATTGTCACCTGCCCTCACTAGAGGCCCAAGGCATCCTAAATCTTAAAGCTATTCTTCTCTTTGAGACAGAGTTGGGATCACCCCACATGGGTCTTCTTTCACTCTACTTCTATCTTATAGTAAATGCACCTATTTTCTACATTGACCCTTTTAGCCTAGTGACCAATTTTGCATCATTCCAGCAGGAAGGGTTCCCAAAAAATGGGCTTTGATCGACAGGAAGCATTTTATAATGAATTAGGAGCAGAGAGGTTGGTGTTCCAGAAGAGGTGCCTCCCTAGAAAACATTGGAGCCTTTTCTTAATAGCCCTCTAATGTTTCTACTTTCAGAAATGTTCCTTTCCACTACAAATTCTTTCTGTTTTGCTTAATTTGCTAAAACTGGTGTTCTCATTTGGAAAGGGGAAAGGGAATAGCTTCTCTCATTTTCCTGTCCCACTATGTGGAAAGAACATGAGTATGAAATGCACTTAGCTAACATTTTTTTTTCTTCAAAATATTAGATTCTGTTACATTCTTAGCTGCAATACATTTATTGAATGAGCTGGGTCCAATATCCTACAAGCAAAATGATGCTTGTGACAATTCCTTTGTCCTGCTATGTAGAGTCATTCTTCCAGGCTACCAGAACTCATTGGAGTGAAGCAAACGCCAGCAAAACCCTAGCTGAACATTGTCTCTCCCAGATCAAACTTGCCTCAAATTTTGAGACCTGCAGCTGGGCAAGTAGGATGGTGGTTTCCTCTCTCTTCTTTCTCTATTCCCTCCTTGACTCATAAGCTGATGTTTTAGTCTTCTCCAGGGTGTAGAGTAAGGGGAGGGGAGAAAAGATGATATAGCAGCAACGCTTAATTTAATCAGCAGAGCTGTGACATGGCATCAGGGTCACTCATGTAGAAATAATCCATTGCTGGCCCTTTCTTCCATGGGATGCTTTTGTGAGTCCTTTGAAGAATCCCTCTCCCTTCCCATCTGTAACTCTGACCACTATGATGAGTGATGTCTCCTCCTCTTGGCCCTGTGGCCATCTGGCACCTCTTGGACCCAGTTTACAAAATCCTTTACTCCTCTAGGTGATTTTCTTGAATTACCTCCCATTCCAAGTCCACAAGAAACACTCAAATTCTAAATGTACAGAGCAATCAGTCATTCACAGTATTTTTTTCTTTCCAAATTTCGAGACACAAATCGGGGACTCATATCAGTCTCCATATCCCCCAAGTCATGGGCTAACCCCGTGACCTTTCTTGTTCAGGGAGAGAAGGAGGGAAGCCACAGCATTTTGATAAGTGTCCAAGAGAAATCTCTGCTTTCCAGTCTCAGTTTTCCATTCAGTATTTCCTTCCTCTTGTGTATCTACATAGTTGAGGTCTCACTGAGAGTTCAAATGGGTAACAGATAATAAACTCAAACTAGGGTAAGTGGAGAATATTCTATTTATCAAGAGATGATTGGCAGAAGTACAAGGAATAATCACCCAAGGCTAGAAACAGCAGAGCTATTACCATTTTGGATCCAAAAGGACTAAGTAAGAGGAGAATGACTAGAGCCTGGAATAGAGTGAGAGACACTTGGGGCCAGGGAGGAAGTGAAAAAAAAAATCAGTGTCTTGACAGCTCTACTTCATCCCTCTGCTGAGCTTGTCATTGGTGGAACCCACCAGGAGACATCTCTTATGTCAACCTCTGGGACATAGAGGGTCTCATGGTAGTTTTCCAGCACCGAGGGTGCTGCATAGGTGTCTAGAACCTCTTGTATTGTTTCTAGTCTTGTGGTGCCTCTGCCAAAACTCTGAAAATGGAACAGTATTTCCATCCTGTGGTATGACCACACGGTTTATTTACTTTCCCACGTTTAGTCCAAGAATATTCATTACCTTCTTTTGTATTTAAGATCTACTTACGTGTGCTTCTTGTACATGAGTGGTAAAACTCAACAAGTAAGAAATATATGAATTCCTGACATGTCTTCCTCCTCATGCAGTGAAACAGAGCTTTGACCTGGAGGAGTACAGCCTCTCGCAATCCACCCTGGAGCAGGTGGGTCATTTTAGTGACTCTGTAGCATCCGTGGCATACAGATGTTTACCCAGACATGGTTTCAAATGGTTTAACTACACTCTGGAGCTATAGGAGGCAGTGTGACATTCCTTTCTCTTTATTTATTTATTTATTTATTTATTTATTTATTTATATTTTCTTCTACTTCAGGTATTCCTGGAGCTCTCCAGGGAGCAGGAGCTGGAGGGCTTTGATGAGGAACTTGATCCTTCAGTGAAGTGGAAGCTCCTCCCACAAGAAGAGCCTTAAGGCCCCAAATAACCTGTTTCTCTAAGTGTTTCTCTCTCTCTCTCTTTTTTCTTAAAAAAAAAAAAAAAAGATTTTTGTGATAGGGTGTGTGCACTTGTCATAGAGAAAGAAACAGAGACAGAAAGAGAAAAATCACCCTCAGGGGAGATGGCCACACTGCAATCCCTTCTCCTCCATTCTCCTCTCAGGATTTTGGGCAGGTACACACATGTGCCCAGGGTGAGTTTTAAGCCACCAGATCCAGGACCGCAGTTGACTATGTGGGAGTCCAACGACATAATCATTGTGCCACCTGCTGGTCCCAAGCTTTTGTCTCTTTTGAAGACAATGTTTTATAGCATTTATATACCCTATCTCAGATATAGTACAAAATATCATCATTTTTTTCCCAAAAAATATTGCTTACATTGGGACTAGTGGGCAAATTAAGTAAGGCCAAAGAGGAGGTCTGAAGTTATGCCAGACTATGCAGCCTCTGTGCCAGCACTTGATGCTAGCTTTCATACAATGTTAAACTTAAAAATACATTTATTATAGAATTATTCATATTTATAAGGAGCACATATAGTTTAATTTTCTTTCTCCTAACTTCAAAATATTGACTACTTTAATGTTTTCTTATCATTTTGATTAAGCAAAATGGAAATTTAAGATATAATGTTGATGTGGGGAGAAAAGGAGTTACCTGGTTACACAGCACAGTATTGCTTTTTTGCGATCCACTCTTGAAGCTTGTTTTCTATTCACTTATTTTCCTTTTCTATCCATTTTCAAACTTTAGACTACAGAGGCTATATTTTGTCTGCTGTGACTACAGTGAAAATTTAAAACATGTTAAAATAAACAATTGTAGTAAGAATTTGAATGACCAAGTTGATAAACATTTTAAAATATATATTTTGCATACAAGTTTGAAACATATTTCTGATTTTGTTTTCTTATGGGGCAAGGGTCTACTTGTATGAAAAGCACTAAAACGTCACAGGTTTTAATTTCTTATATCTAAAAATGTTATGACTTTTCCTACTGATAAGCCCTATAAACATCTTAAAAATCAATACAATCTACCCTCTTATTTTAGTGAGTTTTTGCCATCATCACTGCTATTATTATTGGTAACTAATCAAACATTCAAAGGAAGTTGGGTGAAAGAACTTTGCTTTGATTCTAGTTGTTTTCTTATATCTTCCTAGTATTTGAAAATAGAACACTGCCACTGACCTATGAGAATGCTCCTGTGAAAGGATCCCAGATTTCTTATTTTATAAAAATGAGACATTAATACTGACCCTACTGACTCACTTCACTTTTGAGTCTTAAGAGTTAATACAACTCAACACATTGATAACTAGATTTCAGTTTACTTATATTTGTAGTTCAGTAAATTTTCCTTGCATGGACCCAAGTTGCCAAAGACTATGCCATTACTATTGTATCTAAGGTTTTCCCCTTAAATAAAGCATCACTATCTAAGCCTTGTTTTAACTGCACTAATGATATTCTATTAGATTCAGGAGTTTAGTAAAACACTTTTTGGTAAGAAAATATCAAACATGTTATATTCTTGGCCCTGGTCAAGAGATACATAATTTTAGCATTCTGAGAGAATGTTCCCAAAGCAATGCTAGTAACCTCATGAGAGTTTTACAAGTAGAAGTTCATGTTTAACAGTCCTATAAAAGAAGCTAATACAGTAAATTTGGGCCATGTAATTTCAGATCTATAATTTCAGAAGCATAATATGATAGTGGCAATATCATCATCATGAGACTATGAGTACATATTATCTTCCATTTTTTCTATACAGCTATTTTATGCACATCTCAACATAATCTTACAAATACAGTAATTATGTTTATTTATATTTTGTATTTTGAGAAGCAGAATTTTTAAAATAGTCCATAAAAGATGTTCCTCTCCAATCTCTGGAGCCTAGGAATATGATGTAATATTACTCCAGTGTCTCTGTCATGTCACGTCACACATTTCACATTAAGATGGAAAGATGATTCTCTTTGTGATAATCTTTAGATGATTAAGTCCGATATAATTATCTGCTTTCATGAATGCAAAGGACTCTCTCCAGCTGGTGACTAACCTCCATAAAGACTTGAAGTATGAGAAGGTCTTCATGCTGTCTGTCTTTGAAGATGGAAGGGCCCTTGGAGAAGGAATACAGGTGTTCTCTAGTGTATTACCTGAGAGAGGCCAAACAAAAGAAAAAAACTGAACTGTCACAAAGCGAAACACTCTGTGTTTGGTTATTGAGATTTGGGGGTTTGTTACAGCAAATAGTATTATATTGACTAACAATCATTCATGACAAGAAAAGGATGAAAACACAAGTGTGAAGTGTTTCTCATGCATATCACTCAATGTAATTAATGAAGACCTTTGAATTGTTGCAAGCTGCCTGCCCCCAGTCCTTGCCTAGAGCACAACCCTGCAAGGGCATCCTTCTTACTGTCTCCTATGTGTTTATCTGTGTTAACTCTAAATTGATGTTTCATTCCCAGTCTATGTGTATCACACCATCCTCAAAGCGTCTAGCCAAATGCTATAGTTTGAACATATTCCCCAAAGTTCACATGTTGAAAACTTAATCCCCAATACAGCAGAGTTGGGAGGTGGGCCCTCACAAGAGGTGATTAAGTCATGAGGGTTCTGCCCTCAAGAATGGACTAAGATCATTACTCCAAACAAGTGTTACTTATTTCAGAAGTGGGTTTGTCACAGAAGTGAGATTGACCCCCTCTTGCTCTCTTGCTCTTGCTTTTTTGTCCTTCTCTCTTCTGCCATAGATGACAGAGCATGAAGGCTCTTGCCAGATGCCAGCATCATGCCTTGGACTTTTCAGCTTCCAGAGCTGTGAGCCAAATAAATTCCTGTTATAAATTTCCCAGTCTGTGGCATTCTATTGTAGCTGCATAAAATGCACTAAGACATCAAGCAATAGTAACTTGACACTAATACAAATGTTTTTCTTGTTTTGATATTTATCGAGTTATAATCATGCCAATTTTAAAGCCAGAGAGTTAAAAATCTTGGATTAAGAGGGGCCAGCAGGTGTGACACTCTACCCATTGTAAAATGGAAAGCCATCCCTTTGAGTGTCTTGACAGGAGAGCTTAGTGTTGAAGCCAATATATCCACTAACATAGAAAAGCATCTTTACACAGTGTTAACTCCTCACCTGAATTTACAGTGTCAAAGGTCATTGTCCATACTTTGACTTGTTTTCTTTGGCAACTTTGTTCCTTTTCTTATAACTTGAACTATACTAGCTGGTCAGATTTTCACTTTCCAACCATGATCTTTCATTATTTGTATCCTAGACTCTCAAATCTAGGTTCTGAAGTTCTCTACTCTTCCAAATGTAAGGCTGAGTATTGCCAGAGAAAATCACTTATCATGCTTGCCAAATGCAATAGAATGGTGTGTACATGGATTTTATTTACATTTCTTAATATACTGTAGATTTAATATCCTCAGGGATTCAAGGCATGTATGAAAATTCCATAGACTAATGTTGTTTTGGTATGGCGAGGTTGTTCTATAGGTGTGTGTGCACAGTAGTGGATAAGGAGTCGTTTTTCTCCTTTGCTTAGTACTTTAACTTTTTGGCATATCTAGTAGAAAGAGACAAGATAAAACTCTATACATTGAAAGAAGTTGTGTTCTTTTAAACTATAGGTATGTGCTCACTTTAAACACTATATTTAAGACATGTCCCCTAGCAATACATACTATTTTATTGGGTCTGGTTATAGATCAAGAAACGGATCTCCTGAATCATCCCGAATGGCCATCCTCCATTGGTGTGCATTACTTTAACATCAAATACACTTCGTTATTTCCTCTCGGTGCAGTTTTACTTCATCTTTCTTGTTATTTTAGCACATGAACTCTGCTACTTGGAAATTGCTCCATGTCCTGTGAGCATTGTCAGTACTCAATATCTTTGCTTACTTGTCAACTGCCCAAAGGAAGAGATTTCAATCACCTGGTTTTAGAAGACCCTCCTGACTCCTGTCGATAGCATCTGGAGTCACAGAATACACTATTTTTCTATTCTCAGAGCTGAGCACCTCAACTTTCTCGATCATGAGATAATTCACTTCAGTCCACAGACCAACACTATGGTCATTATGGGCCTGGAACTTTTGATGGTTTATATCCAGTTTACTGGGCTATAACTGTGGCCCTAATTGCCCCTTCCAGTCTACTTTGGTCAACCAAAGTTTTGAACCTTCTGATCAAGGGCGAGCTTCAGCGGTTTCTGGAGAGAGGCTCATGAGGTGATCTGCCCCCAAAAATAATCACTGTCAATATTTGTCATCTTCTATCTGTTTCTTCTTCATAATGTCTCTTTATTCTATGATCTGCTGTTATTCCCAAATTTGCTAACACTGGCTCATGCATAGGAAAGGAAGTCTTCTCAACATTGTTTCCTTCCTTAAATGCAGATCTAAAAACTGCACAATGTGCAAGAATAGTGCTAGCTCTTGTTGCTCCAAATCCATGAAAATGTTTATATTTTATCTGAAAAAAAAGTGCTGAGTGCATGAATGTTTTATCACTTCCTTTACTACTAGTCTTCATTTACTATTTGTGCCCTATGATGATTGACTAAACCATCCAAATTCAAATATACCATTATTTTAATTAAAATATATTATATATTTGACCTTATGTAGTTAAACAGACCTCCCACCTGGAGTAGCACAATCCCTTGAAGTACACCTTAGAGCAGTTTTAGTGATTTTTTATTTCATCCATATACCATAAATATATGATATCACATGTACATTCTTTTCAGTTGGGGCTACAGGAGGCAATGTGCTATTTTTCTCCTCACTTTATTTCTTTTTTCACTTTCCTGGGACTCTCCAAGAAGAAGCAGAATGGTTTTAGTGAAGAATTTGATCCCTGGCTGAAGTGGAAGCACCTCCCATAAGAAGAGCTTTAAAACCCCAAGCAAACTAATTTTATAATTAAAATGTTACCATGTCACTCAGAAATACTGAAAGAAGTCTTTGTGTGGTGGCAAGAAGGAGCCAGTGTGGAATAAAGGCAGTGACAAGGGGACAGCAGCATCT